TACAAAAGAACTTTAGTTGCCGCTATCTTCAATCTTTTATCACAAGAAACCGGTCGAAACGAGATAGGCAAATTAATAAAACGGAATTCATTTTGCAGACTTCTATGGAGGAAGTGGCTCGAGGTGATCCGAAGGTGAACCAGTCGTCGCTGTTACAGAAACTGTTGTCCGAGTGACTGCAGGCCAACGCTTTGCAAAGTAAAGGGATCTATGTAATATACGTTTGAACACGAGAAAGAAAAAGAAAACGAAACGAAACCAGTAAGAAGAGAGGAGAGAAAGAAGCCAGGGAAGAACGTGAGAACCACGAGTAAACTGTAAAAGGGAGGAAAAAGGATAATGTGAAAAGAAAAATATCGATTACACACACACGCATGTACACTCTATACGTAATGGATACTAATTGTATTATATGTAAACGCTGCAACACTCGAAGTCAGTATTCAGATACGTATCACCAAATACAATTTTGAAGAAAAAAAGAAAATTAAAGCTAGACCGCTGCGCCGTGCTCTCCGTGGCCTTTTTTCCACGCTGCGACACCTCGAACTCTCGCGAGAGAAACAACGATGTCGGTAATGAAGGAAGCTGTGAAAAAAAGTATGGGGGAAAACGGACGAAAAAAAGAGTAAGAGAGAAGAGGTTAACGCCTTCGCGATGAAGCGGCGGGCCAGAGCGCCACATCGACTTTCAGTCTCGTTCTACACTCGATGGACCAAAAGTTTCCGTTTCTCGTTTGGCTGTGTCGAAATTTTATCGCTTGGTGTGTATCGGTTTCTCCTTGACCACGTGGAAAAAATTCAGGTAGATACACTCGATGTATCATCCGTCAGAGGGATGATCGAGGAACCGTGAATTGGTGGTTGACGAACGATGATCGAGGAATGTTCGTGAATCGAAATTTTATTATCGATCACAAAGTATGCTGGAAGAAGAAAAAACGTCGGATTTCTGTGATTCGATATAGCTAAGAACGTGTAAACGGCGGGGCGCGGGGAGCACGTGGCACGATAGTG